TGGCCCGGCGGACAAATTCCACCTTCAACCAGGTTGTGCTGAAGAGGTTGTTCATGAGTCGCACCAACCGGCCACCTCTGTCCCTTTCCCGGATGGTAAGTGGCTTGTCTGGGAACCTGGGTGTCCCCAGGTTGTTGGTGTGGGTAGCTGGCTTGGATTTTTGTCTTCCTTTCTGGCTGGTGAGGTGGAGGTAGTTGTGAGCTTCAAGTCCAGGGCCAAGTGTGGTGTGCCTGTAATCATAGCACTCTTGGGAGGCTGAGGCAGGAGGATCTCATGTTGGGTCTCAACCTGGGCAATTTAGCGACTTAGCGAAACTGTCTTAAAAGGGTTGTGGATGTAGGTCAATCTGCAAAAATCCTAGGTTTAGGGGCCGGGGAGATGGCTCAGTGGAATAAGCACTTCCCTGGCAAGCGCAAGGGCCTGAGTTCAATTCCCGGTTCCGCAAAAAAAAGAATCCTAGGTTTGATTGTCTCCTAAAAACAGAAAATTGCAACATTGTTTGACTGCTGACTTTCTTAAATAAAGATATCAGTAGTTGGGGAAAAGAAAAAAGAAAGCCTAAGATGGATTTGTTGAATATTTTCTGTCACATTTCCTGCACTAGGGGCTGGTGAGATGGCTCAGTGGTCTAAAGCACCTACTTAGAACAAGCCTAGCAAAAACAAAGGGACCGTGGTTCAATCCCCCAGCACCACATGCCAGCCAGCCCCGCCCCCTGGTGGGCTGAGCCGGCCACACACACACACAAAATAAGTAAATAAATAAAATTAAAAAAAAAAAACAAATTTCCTGCACAGATCTCTGAGAGGCTTGTAGAGTAGGGGTGAGGTGGGCTTAGCCACAACAGTGCCAGGCCTCCGGACTTGAACACTAGAACAACACTTGATGTATATCTTTCCAAGATCCGGAAGATGAAGCTTCCCGGCCGGGAAAATAAGACAGCAGTGGTTGTGGGGACCATCACTGATGATGTTCGTGTTCTGGAGGTGCCCAAGCTGAAGGTTTGTGCTCTGCGCGTGACCAGCCGGGCCCGCAGCCGCATCCTCAAGGCTGGGGGTAAGATCCTCACCTTTGACCAGCTGGCCCTGGACTCCCCCAAGGGCCGTGGCACGGTCCTGCTCTCTGGTAAGGAGCTCTTGGCTTGGTGATTTCTATGGGGGGATTTCTATGAACTAAGGGTCAGGGTGCACCTCTGCCTTGTACCCCAGCTCAGCCCGATAGGGGTTGAAGGGAGAGGCTTCCTGCACGAGGTTGAGGTGCAGGGCCCTGCTTTATCCTCTGCTCCTGTCCCCAGGTCCGCGCAAGGGCCGAGAGGTATACCGGCATTTTGGCAAGGCGCCAGGAACCCCGCACAGCCACACCAAGTGAGTACAGGGCCTGCAGCTGCCCAGCGGGGGTGGGACCCTCAGGGTGGGAATGAGCGCAGTGGGCTCTGCAGCTCGTCGCCTGCCACCCCCTGGCGCCTTGGCTCTGTGCGTTGTAGTGTGTTCCAGAAGTCAGGTCCTGGTGCCAGGGCAGTGAGACAGGACCTGGGACCTGCTGTTGGCTATAAGGGGGGCTTTTCACCCTCTTCTTCCCACAGACCCTACGTCCGCTCCAAGGGCCGGAAGTTTGAGCGTGCCAGAGGCCGACGGGCCAGCCGAGGCTACAAAAATTAATGCAGAGATGTACTCTGTT